TACAGTAAAGTAAAGGCTCAAATATGCTATATATTGTCCTGGCTTATATTGTGGTCATCAGCCTCAGTGTGGCTTTCTTTGCCAGTATGTTGTCAATTCAATGAAGCCAAGTGGACCACCTTTCATTATGCTTAACAGGTTGATCTTTGGCAAGATCTCAGCATCCTTTATCCCCTTCTACCTAAGTACCAAGGGGAAAGGCTGTGATGGCTATGAAGATCTTCTCCAATTTGACCTCTACTGCTGGCTTATTGGGTTCCCATTCCCTACTAAATTCTACAAGACAAATAAATATAAAAGTTCCTCTTATAAGGAAAGCAAATCTATTAGCCGACTCTTAAGATCTTCATTTCCCAACCAGATACAGGAGTCCCTCTTGATAATTGCACTGAAAACCAGTGTGTCACATATTAGAGGGAAGGGATAGGGATCCAGGATTCTCATCTCATCTATTTTGGATGTTTTACTTTGGGTCCTAGGCCTATTTGCAGTGAAAGACTTCACCTAAAATCCTCTATTCTATTTTTTTCCCCTAAAAATGTCTGCTATGGCAGAGATTTTGTGATCTTTTTCAATAATAATATTTTGTACTGATTATATTATAGTAATTTATGGTGGTTATTAGTAAACCAGGAACTATTTTTTGACACCCAAAATGGCCAATTATTACTCCCAAGAACTGCACTTTCTGAATCGTTTGTGCATGAGGACAAGGGAAGAAAACTTATGATTACAGGGCAAGAAAAAGGAAGCTGGACAGACTAACCATCCATCTAGGCTCATCTCATTAGACTCTCTATAAACCTTACACTAGCCATGGACAGATTGCACACAAACATCATTTCTCTAGATCACCAAGGACTAGAGGACTTGGGAGAAGGTTACCATTTGCCCTCTAATTAGCAAAATGACTGTTTTCCAGTCCTGTTTCTTTGGAGGGATCACAGCTCCCAAGGACTGCTGGGGGAAATAGAGGTTCAGAAGTGCTACACTTTCAAAAGAGGCCTCAAAATGCAGTTTGTGCCACTCAGATCTCAGAGGTTAGCTCTAACTGGCAAAGAGTTGTCACCACGAAATTTAATAATTCATCCCTTCCTTTTTACCATTTGAAAAACCATCTTCCTCCTTTTGCATGAAGATTTCCCCTTAACTCTGGCCAAGACAAAGGTTCCTTGAAGTGATCACAGCTATTTTTTTGTTGACCATGTACTTGAGCAGATGGGACGGTAGCTCCAGGCTTCTGGCTTTCAAAATCCTTTTGCTCTTCTTCTTCCTTCCTGAGAGTGTCAGTGACAGTTTGAAATTCATCTGCAGTCAGCCCTCCATTACACCAGGGAAATTTCCTGCCTCCACAGCTGAAGTGATACTTGGGGGGTTTGTGTCGCTTGTAGTTAGTGATGTAAAGTTAGATAATTTCAGAAAACAGCCAGGCTTCTCCATATTGGGAGTGTAAGTACATCTTTCCTCTTTGAATTATGTGCATTGCATCTTCAACGATAACTGCAAGAATCTAGGCAAGAGGTCGATAACGCTGCTTCAGAGATTGCCCTTGCCCTTGGCTATTGTATTTAATGATACTATGCATTTTAAGCATGGCTTCCAGAGAGATGGCCCCTAAGTAATCACCCAGAGAAAAAGTGCTTTCTACTCATAATTTAATGGACTTTCTTTGAGATCTGTCTATCTGAGAATGCATTTTTAGCAAACACTCACAGAAAGCTGAATTTCTAAAGCACAAAGTTTCTTCCTTCACCCCATCCCAAGAACAAAAGTATCATAGAGCTCAATTAAAATGGGGCCATTGTACTCCTCATCTTTTTTTCAACAGAGGAAATACTTGGGATTTTCATAACATTTATCTGAGAGGGAAGCAGAATTCAGAAATTTAAATGCATGCAAGTATAATTCTTTCCAGTAATTTATTAGGAGCAGAAATCTGAAGGAAAGAAAATTCCAAGAAATCCCCTTTTGAGAATTTTCAACTCAGATCATCATAACCCACCTGTTTATCAGTTGATGCCAGTGGATGAAGGAACTAATTGAAAAAAGAAAAGTATTGGAAAATTTTATCTCTACATGGAGTGTTAACATAGATTGATTTTGGTTTGTAGTTGTGCATGAACTTTTATATCAATATTACATGAAGCTAAAGAGTTGATATATTTCAGGCTTTGTTCTTAGGATGGACTTTCCACGAGAATGAAGGTATGATGGAATATATCTAAGAAGGCGAGGAGGATGTGTGTGGATTGCGATAGAGAGCAAGGCTATTAGAAAGGCGGGGGTGCATTTCAGGAAGGGTAAGGAGACAAAAGACAACACAGTCTGGGGATAGATTGATGTTAGCCTCCATCGAAGAACAGCGAGGGAACAGTTCATCCAAATTCAATTCTTTTATGGCTTATGCCTTATAGACAGAAGCTTGCCAGACTAAATCTATACTACTGCAACTAGTGGAAATACTCTGGGAGCTTCTAGGGAGTGGCTATCCTGAACCTCTTATGCTTCCCATCCTCCATCTCCAGTCTGTGTTGTCTTTTGTCTCCTTCCCTTCCTGGAATGCACTCCTGCCCCTCCCTGAGAGCCTTGCTCTCTACTGCAGTCCACCACAGAAGGAAGCAACCTGCAACATCTCAATGTATAGTTCAAATGAAATTGTGAACCAAGATTGTATTTTAGACATTAGATTTTCTAATTTATTGCCCAGATTTAACATATATCCACCCAATGTGGATTGAAGAAGCTTCTATGCTGGTAGACATGGACTTTATAACATGGTTCTACTATTTGTCAAGTGATGATGTTAAGAAAAAAGTGGAACATCATTGCATCTAACAGAAAAATGACTTCCAAAAACCTTCTCCAAAACTCTTGGCTGAATGGTTAAATCACGCTGAATGTCTCCCCGCTCGTGATTTGAATAGTTGAAAAATTATTACTAAGTTTAATGCTATCAAGATTAATGCTACCTACATGGTTAAGATAATTTCCATTTATTTTATTACATCCGTAGTAACAAAGGATAAGTCTCATCCAACCTGGTGTTTCAAAGCCACTGCTTTTCCCATATGTCAAAAATCCAACAGTTGGAGTTTTACAACTGGTAGAGTTCAGTTGGAAAGGTACATGATAAAATGACTTCCTATTTGAGCAGAAAGAATTTGTGCTAGGCTACAAAGGATTGAAAAGCAAAATTAATTTGCCCCCACCCCCACAACATAAATTGCTGAAATTACCTACATTGCTTTTTTTTTTTTTTGGTAGAATGATGTGTGCTTGTACATTATTATTTCAGGTTGATGCCAAAACACTACCAGCATGTTCTTTCTATGTCTTTTGCCATTCATGAGGTCAACAAGAACCTGAAGCTGTTACCCAACACCACACTAGGATTGGAGGTTTATGAAAACAGTTTCAATGTAAGGTTGGCAAGTAAGAACATTCTAGATCTTCTGTTTCTGAAACAACAGAATCCCATCAACTACAGCTGTGTCAGAAGGATGAAGAGGAAGCTCTTGTCTATCATTGGTGGCCTCATCTCCTCAAACTCCATGCACATGGCCCACATTTTGAACACCTACAAGTTTCCACAGGTAGGAGGGTTTTTCACAGATCTTCTTGTAGCTTTTAGAAATGAGTGGTTACTTTCTGGAGCCTTCCTTCCTTAGAATTTGTAAGGCATTGGAAGCATATTACTAAGTAAACTGAACTGAATCGCTTCTCTTATCATACATATTTTATTTTAATCTTTTAATTAATTAATTTTTAAAAAAAATCAAGCACACTTACAATAAAAACAGACAATAGCATAAAAGACAGAACATAAAATCAAAAGATCTACAAATATTTCAAATTTCTAGCTCAGGAAAACCTACTTGGGCTACCAAAGGCCAGAAATTGGGTGTCTGTCCAAACTCTCTCCAGGATACCCTGTTGCATAAGAAATTCTGAACAATATGGAAGAGAATATATATTGTTGAAAAAATGGTAAAATAAATGTGATTATGAAAAATGGACAGGTTCTGTTAAGAACATTCAGTTAAAAACATATTGGAAAACATATGGATATTGGAGCAAATTAAAAATATTTTATTTGGATTCCAAGTTCTCTCTGGGGTATATGACAATCTCTCTGACTGGGGTCATGACTAAGGAAAATTTCAACCTCCAGTTCATGGATGTATATTTTAATGGTACAAGAAAGGATGGGGTGAAAACTACTCAGAACTTATTGATTACAGAGCAAAATGTTCATGAGCAAACCTTCTTGTTACAAAAGTTCAGTTCCCATAATTTTAGCCAGCAACTCTAATGATGAGAAATGATGGAAACTGAAGTTCGCAACATATCCTAATTCTGGATCGGAAGACAAATTCTCAGGTGTTCCTACTGTGAAGGTCTTTCTTCAGTGTAAATCTTGGTGCCTACCTTTGGCTGTTTGTAATTCAATTATTATGTTAACGTAGAGTCCTATATTCAGAAAGAGAATGGAAAAGCTGTATGTTCTGCATGACAAGCACTTGTCAGTTTAATGTTCAATGCATTGTCCTTCCAAACAGCTCAGTTATGGCTCTTTTGACCCAGTCCTGAGTGACAAAAGGAGGTTCCCTTCCTTCTTCAGCATGGTTCCCAATG